CTGCCATCTCTCACCTCAACTTCCTAAAACAGGCAATCTTTAATAAGGTATTGTGAAATCTTAAGCTGTTTCCTCTGAAAATTAAAAACGGCTTTATTTCTCCTGTTTTGTTTTGGACTCTCTGATGACCAAATGTTACCCACAAATGCAAAGCCCATCACTGAGTTATAGAGAAGATATGTTTTGGTATTTAAGAAAAGAGAAGTTAGTGAACGCCTCCCGCAGCTGAATGCTCTAGGCAGAAGTTATTCCTCCTGGTGCAGTGAAAAGATCCGTGGGCTCTGGGGACACATGCACCTTGCTACTTATGAGCCATGTGATTCAGACAAGTCACTACACCTTACTTGCAGAAAGGAGATAATAGCAGCTATTGGTCTTGGAGGAGTAAAGAGAATGCACCATGAACTGCCTAGGACTATGCCGGTCCCAGCACCAGCTCTCAGAGGTAACTGCTACTGTGAATGAAAAAACCGTTTTACTGAGCATACTTTCCAGCTTTGCTGCCTGTACTGAATAGAATGAGTACATTTTTCTTGGATGAGTCATGATTTTGCAAAGCTTCGGAAGTTTCATCCTTAATATCAATTCTCATTGCATCCTACCAGGAGCCAGAAAAATGGCAAAAACCAAAATAACTGAAAATTGACCATAGGAAGTTGTCTTAAAATAAATTCAAGATTCAAGTAGGTGTCTAATCTTTTGTTTCTCTCTCCAACAAGTTAACTATTAAAAAAAAAGTCCAGGTTAGTTGGAGATCCTCTAGGCTCAGGTTGGTCAATCTGACTCTAGTATGGGAAATTAAAAGTAAAGGGTACAGTTGGCTAAATGATATTTTTACAAGGAATGTTTCTCTGACACTTGAAAGACTATGGCTTTCAGAGAGAAAAACCTGACCACGTAAAGTCTAAAAAACTTGAAGATGCAAAAGGAAAATGTTAAAAAAAAAAAAAAAGCTTTATTCTTAAAAATGTTGGATGGTGTCTGTGTGGTAAGAGTAGGTTTTGGAGAGGGGTGAGCAATGGGATTGCAGAATTAACCCCTCCCATTCTACCTGCCCACGTACGTGCCTTGTCCACCAGCATTATCCACCGCACCATCTGCTGCCAAGCACTCTACCAGCAGCAGCTGGGCTCCCACAGGGCCCCAAGAGTTAACACAACACCTCTTGTAGCTAAATAAGTTATTTAGGAATGAAAAAGATGTCACTTCAAAGTTAAGGTGGGGGGGGCAGGGGGCTTGAGATGAGTTTAAACTCCTGACAATCTTTAAAAATATCTAAATAACAAACATGTTCTGGTTACTGACACATATCAAGTAAGCAGTTTTAATTTTTCTTATCTTAGCTAGTTAGACTATAAATCCTGCTCTAAATATTCTAAAGCATACGTAAGAATTACATACTCTGGTTGATGTATATACAGTAGATATATTTATCTTTTAATACCTTTTAACACAGTGGGAACTACAACTCTGCTGTGTAAACATGGTTCTTTCAACTAGGAATCAGAAGTATTATTCTAAACCAATACAACAAGGGGAGGAGGGTTAAAGATGGGGTTCAGAGCTCAGATCTTCCAAAATGTCTAGGTCTCTCCTTGGACAAATTAGGCCCTCAAGGATAATTGGGTCTACTTATTATGAAATTTACCAGGACTCAACTAGGTTCAGGAGTTTGGTCTTGATGTTATAGATCCACTACATAAGATGTACTAAAAGCAACTCTTAATATGCATCGGTCATAAGCAAAATAATAACCCAACATCAATTCTGATCTCAAATTAAAGCAAAGACTTTAAACAGACCATGATTTAAAATATTTGGGATTAAAAGAACAAAACAACCATTTTCCAAGCAGAAAAAACCCCACATGAGTTGATAATAAAAATTTAATATTATACTAGCTGACACTAACATAGCTCTTATATGCCAGGTACTGTTCTCAGCACTTCATAGATTATCAGGTTGACAAAGCATCACCACTTCCCTGTCCAATCAGTAACTTTACAGTGTGTAATGTACAGTAATACAACAGATTAAATACTGCAGAGTAAATCAATGGGATGATACTAACCACCAAACAATTCTGGCTTACCATGAACTCACCCTATGGTAAAATAGCTGTGATTAATAAATAGTTCACCTCAATGGCCAGGGGTTTGGATGTCACAAAATGAGAACAACAAATTAAAACAGGTATCTTCCCCGAAATGGCTCTAAATGTAAAATGAGGGGGGAAACACTAAATAAATAAATATATTCCACGCCAGCGGGGGAAATGGAAAAAATGTAAGTCAAACTATTCATATTGCAAAAATGCTAATTTTACTATCATATTCCCCTTTTCAAAAATAGGTCAGTTTGCAGTCCTTGCAACGTCAGCAGTCCTTGAAACAATGTTGTCACACATGTGTGTCAGATTTTGCATAGGACATAACTTGGCTGTGAGGAAAAATCCAGAGTCTGCCTGTATCTTAGGCAGGAAAGAAAGCCTGCTCTCTCTCTCTTTTTTTTTTTTTTTTTTTTGTGGCTCAGTAAGTCTGAGAACAACTTGAAAGGGTTGAAAAGCCGGGCACCAGGTGTTTTCTTTCCATTTTTCCAGAGTAATTTAAGTACACAGACAAGTTATCTCCGCTTCCTTCCCCACAAGTCAGCTTAGGGGAGACCTGTCACTGCCATTTACATCGCGCAGCTCCCTTGTTAACAATGGGAGGGCACCGGGCTGGGCAGCGGGGCTTCGTACAGCCTGCACGCGCTTTGTGGCCAAGTCCTGAGCCTCGCGGGGTGAGGGGTGCACGCGTGGGCTAAGGAGAATTTCAATCTTTTTCAAGTCTGTATGCTTTTCTGTATGCTTTCCAAGGAAAGAGAGACAATTGAGGCCATGGGAGGGGCTGGAGGGGGTAACCAAAAACAAACTTTCAGAGCCTCGGAATCTGCATTTCTTGCAATAACTCCCAGCCAGGGATTAGGAGATTCTGATACTTCCAAAGTATTTAGCTCCGAGATGAGCGACCATGCAAGGAGCGGTGGCCGAGTGGCGTCCCCGTCCCTCGCCGACCCACTCTTCCAGCAGCAACCGGCGGGCGCGCTTTCGAAGCCCGCCCCCC